GGTGTAATAATAATAATTCCAAATAATCCTCAATACCCAATATGATGATCAATACACTCATTTGTGTGTTAAGATGAATCTTGCTAAAAACTAGGTCTTTATCTGATATATAGTTGGTGCAGAGATAGACAATATTGAAAAGTAGGGTAATTTGGTAATTTTAGTAGTACTTTAGTACTACTGTGTACAGGTATTTTTCAGGAAGAGAATGAAAAAAATTATTTGAAAAGTTGCAATTTTGTCGAGTTGCATTTTTGTCGCTGCGTAGAACATGGAATATGAGTTTTTCAAAAACTGGACTGCACATCTTTGCCGGCGTTGCGCAACCCTCTAAATTATGAACCCTGCTAGGGGACTCTTTCAACCATTTTGAGAAATGGGTTGCAAAACTTGGGTTACAAGGTTTAGGTGTGATATATCGCGTCTGATTTATAACAGGTTATGAGTCAAACTTCTGTGAGCCATTTTTAGTAATCAGCTAAAAGCTATGCTTGCTTGTTAGCCCTAGCAAAGCACCAATCAGAGATCAAGAATCCATCAGTCGGAAAGAGTTTTCTTTTCTCTTCACAACCATGTGCACATTCCTATGTGAATTTTGAAGAGAACTATTTCTGGCTGGTTGATTTCTCTCTGCACCAAAAACTCAAAAAAACTCTCATTTAATCAACCTCATCATAGGGACCTGTCACCTCTTTAGTTCAACACTTTAACCAACACTAACAGCGTGATTGATATGCAAGACTTCTTCATTATAACAAGGACAGGGGGATCCAGAAGTCTCGGATTGATCAACCAAGTGGTTTAGAAGAAACAGTAGATCTAGTACTAAGCAACAGCGAAAAAGCAAGCCTCCATATCAGAAGCCTCCTATCATCATCCTCTGTATCAGCACCTTCTCCATATCAGCATCAGCAGCCTTGTATCAGCGTCCTGTGTCCTCCGTATCAGCAGCCTTGTATCAGTGTCCTCTGTACCAGCAGCTCATCCGTATCAGTAGCCTCAAAAATAGTTTTTTGGGTTCAGTGACGGCTTGAGGTGCAGGGTGCAGGGTGTTATATATCGCACTGTTCTTCGCGTAGGCCTGAGTAGAATTAGTACCATAAATTACCTGTCATGCAATTGCAACGGATACGTACGTATACGATACGAAGCTCCGAAGAAAAGAATGAAGGATCATACCATTCCTACGTACCTATCGTAAGGTATGCTTCCTATGTATGTATCATAKGATGCATCATAAGAACACTGAACACGTAAGAGGTCCGAGGATCGTAAGAGGTCTACGATATCAGAAATAGATTACCTCGYACGGAACAAAGATGTCAGGAGTTCTGAATAGTAAGAACCCCGTGTAGATTGAGTACCAGATCTACACAAGTAACTAATCGGAACTTCGGAAATCTCANAAGATGTCAGGAGTTCTGAATAGTAAGAACCCCGTGTAGATTGAGTACCAGATCTACACAAGTAACTAATCGGAACTTCGGAAATCTCACACCGAAGTTCAATAATCTTAATCTTATAATTCAATCTTCATACACACTTAAAATACCTACTAAGAGTACACGTAATCTCGTGCAATGCAATAGATCACATCTAATAGAGCTATTAAAGGCAAGCCCTGTACTGGCAAGTTATTGGCAATTCCGAACCTCCAGGGCTGGCTGGCTTGCCTGCCATGCACATGTACCCCCTGTACACTACAGTACCATAGTACAAATTATACGTAATCTACGTACGTATTTTTCTACTGCAAATCAGTACTGAGGCACCTCCATCCAATGCTGCACCTCCACCAACAAAAATACGAGCAAACACATCAAATTGCCGCATCATACTCCTCTGGAAGCAAATCAAGCAATCATTCATACTCCTCCGCAAGCGTTTATTCATTCTCAAACAACCGGCGTGGAACGCTTTGATACTCAAGCAAGAAATGGCTGTTGCGTTTCTGGATACACAAGTGAAACGGCAATTAAAGCTCTCATACTCAAGGGACCGGCGTGCGGAGGCTTTGATACTCAAGGAACTGGCTTGGGGACGCTTCGAAACTCAAGCAAACAGCTCTTGCATTTGCAGATACTCAAGGACCGATGTGCGGAGGCTTCGATACTCAAGCAACCAGCCTGCAACACTTCCATACTCAAGGACCGGCGTGCAGAGGCTTTGATACAACCGGCGTGCGACACTTTGATACTCAAGGGACCGGCGTGCCACGCTTCGATACTCAATCAAGTGCGGATCTCTGTATTCAAGCTATTTGCGTTGCGGATCTCCATATTCAAGCTATTTGTGTTGTTATTTGTGGTCTGCGATACTCAATCAAGTGCAGATCTCCGTATTCCTTAAGTTATTTGTGTCGTTGTGGATCTCTGCATTTGCAGTCTGATACTCAATCAAGTGCGGATCTCTGTATTCAAGTTATTTGCATTGCTCAAGTGTGGCAGATCTGCAGAGACAACGCTTCATACTCAAGTGTTTTGCTGTGCTCTTTGAAGTGCAGAGACTCAAGTGATTTGCGGAGAGGACTCAACTCAACAACCAACCGTTTATCATTCAAGTCAATCCAATTGAGGCACAATTGATTCATCACAGACCAATCTGTCTGAAGGGTGTAGTGCCAAGCTAATTTGTCTACTGACYGGCCAGCTMCAATGGCAGGAAGAGAGCATCTTCATCATGGATGTGATGATCCTCATCACAGACGTGGGGCATGTCATCATAASGACAGCAATCAGAGAAGTGTACAATTCTTGTTGCAAGAGGATGTTATTTGTGGAGACTCAAGCTAATTTGCGTTGCGGAGATGATTTGCGATCTCTGTATTCAAGTTCTTCGCGTTCTTTTCAAAAAAGCAACAATCAACCATTTTATGAGGTAATGATATGGAGCAGTACACTGATCAGAGTGGCTGATACGGAGGAGCTGCTGATAAGGAGGAGTACGCTGATACTAAACTTAGGAGCCGCTGATACGGAGGACGCTCACTGATACAGAGGATGCTCACTGATACAGAGGACGCTCACTGATACGGAGGACACTCACTGATACGGAGGATGCTCACTGATACGGAGGATGCTGATACGAGTTGCTGATAGTACCAGTTGCTGATAGGAGTTGCTGTTACTACAGAGTATGCTGATACTACAAGAGGACGACACTGCTCAGTTTTAAAATTATGAGATTCGAATTCTTAAAATAAGCAGGCAAAGCAAGAGGTGAAGAAACGGGTTCAGTTCCTGAATAAATCCTGGTGCGGCCCTCAGCCATTCTCCGCGCCAGAATTTTTTCTGAAGTTGAATGACAATTTTTAACTGTTTTTATTTCACTGACGGTTAAAATAATGGGTTTTACCTGTAAAAATGAGCTAAATATTTCTACTAGCATTTGTATGGGAATTGCCAATAACTTGCCAGTACGGGACTTGCCATTAATAGCTCTAATACCTAAACCTCGTACCCATTGCGTTTCCGTAGTCCGTACCCGTACATTACAAGGCTCTTTCGATGGGAATGATACCATACTTTTTTTACATCGAAGCTTTTGGTGGTAATTATTTAGTGGCCTTATTCATTAGGCTTACTGTATTCGCCAAAAAATATGGGTCTTGAATGGAAAATACCTCGCTGTAAAATGCCGTACGGTACGTACGATGAGGACCTGATTTATTTTTAAGGTAGGCTTTCTGGAAGTAACCTGACGGAATGGTATCCAAAGTTTAGGCCTCACAAAATTATCTTTAGACTACGAAAACCCATATTTGCAAAAAGCCTCTTGCAAATTTCTGGTTTTTTAGTAACGACGTAGTCGGTAATTGCGATGGAAACAGGCGCACATCAAAGAGCTAAGAGCTGCCGGGTACGAGTTCTCGGACTATATTTGTAGACGGCCATCAAAACATATTCTACGAATCTTCAATAAAATTAATACTACTTTTCATCATGGCTAAGCGCAAAAACAATAGCAATAACAACAGGAATAAGAAGACAAAAAATGGAATAAAAGAATCCAAGAAAAGCCGGATTCCTGTCACCATCTTGAGTGGATTTCTTGGCAGCGGAAAAACGACTCTCCTAAAGTTTATTCTCGGATCGCCAGATCATGGTCTCAAGATCGCTGTGATTGTAAACGACATGGCCGAACTCAATATTGACGGACAAACTATTTCGAGAACGAAGAAAGAAGTAATTACATTGGAGAACGGCTGTATCTGCTGCACGTTGCGTGGAGATTTGATTCAGGAGATCCAACGAATTCAAAATGACACTACAAATAACTTCGATTATGTGGTGATAGAATCTACAGGTATTGCCGAGCCCCAGCAAGTCGCCGAATCATTTTGTGTTGACCCCGATACAATGGCGTTGGCCGGGAACGACGAGACCATGCTTTGGAATTCCGCGCGATTGGACACTTGTGTCACAGTGGTAGATGCCGCAAACTTTGCCGATTACCTATCGTCTCTAAAGCGATTTCAAGACGTCTTCCACGATGGACTCGACGATTCAGAAGAAGGAGAGGGCGAGAAAAGTATCAGCGAACTCATGGTGGAGCAGGTTGAGTTCAGCAACGCAATAATTTTGAACAAAATCGATTTAGTTTCGGAGGAAAAAATCGAAGTAACGAAAAGACTGATTCGTACCCTTAATCCAAAAGCCAAAGTATTGACTGCTTCCTACGGCAAAATTGATCTCAAGGAGATTTTGAACACTCGAATGTTCAGCTTGGAGAGCGCAAGCAAGTCGCCTGGATGGCTCGTATCACTAGAAAATGGCGCGAAGGCCGATGTTGGGGAAGCAGATGAATATGGCGTTGACTCCTTTATTTTTCGTGCTCGAAAGCCGTTTCATCCGCTGCGTCTCCATAACTTCTTGAAACAATTTTTTTGTTTTGCCCATGACTGGATTGTTTCCGACACCACTGATGATACTTCCGATAAAAATGTAGGCTCGCTCAAGCTTAGGAAAGAATTGGACAATCAATATGGTAGCATCCTTCGTTCCAAGGGAACTTGTTGGATTGCTGGTCGAGACCAACATGAAATGGAATGGGCACAGGCAGGTCGCATTGTTCAGATTACTCCCGTTGCCCCTTGGTACTGTTTGCAGTCAATTGAAGAATGGGATATTGCTGATACCGATGAAGAACGAGAAAAAATACAGAAGAAAATAGATGGACACGCCTATGGGGATAGATGCCAGGAAGTCGTATTAATCGGCACGAATCTGCAGCAAAATGCAATCGAGAAAAAACTGAGGGATTGTCTTCTTACTGATTTTGAAATGAAAAATCATGACATTGAAAATTTGCCGATTGGAAGCTATCCAGACCCTCTGAAACCAATTCTTGTGTCTTGTGACAATGCCTCTAGTCTATTCATGATTGCTCGAAAAGGACAAGACCAACATTTTCGTGTTGTCCCTGGATTTCAATTAACTCTCACCAGTCTAGCTCTGAATTATCAGGAGGATAGTGATCATATCAGAGCAGTCAAAGTTTGGTTAGACCCAAACGATGCTGTCTCTAAGGGCATACTTCTTGCTACGCTTCGTCCGTGTACATGCGAGCAACATGCCCTATCTTTGCCGTTGCTATCAAATGACGAAGTTGGAGAGAAGACAACTCTCAGTCGTATTCGAATCGAACTTATACCAAAGAATAAGAGACAGGAAATTCCGATGGATATTTTTGAAGTCCACATTAGTGGGAACGTCGAGCCACTCCCCTATTCTCCCGCAGATTTTGAAGAAGACGAAGAAGAGATGGACGAAGAGGAGTGCGACACTGGCAATTGTCCCCAATAAGTCAAGTGAAGAGGAGTTCGTGGCCTTTTGTTGCTTGGATGAAATGACTTCCTCAGGCAAAGCTTTGCTTCGGATTTGTTGTGTAATTCTTCGTACAAAAATCGTCGAGTACGTACGGTACGGTATGTATCAGTCTTCGAATATTACAGAAAATAATACAAGTAATACGTAATACCGGTACAGCAAGAAAAAAGATATCAATCCAAGTTGGAATACTGAATCAAAACTAGAGCTACTCAAGCCCCATGCTTGCAACTAAGCGCAGTTGTTCCTAACTGCTCTTAGCCCAAGTGATTGTAGCCTTTTCTTCTTTCCACGGAACATTCTGGGCCTCTTGGCACTGTGGTGCAGTATGTTCGTACCTTTGTGGTCTGATATTGTCAGGATCTTAGTAGTAGTGGTCAACAACTATTTGAACTTTCTAAGTTTTTGCTACTAAAATTAAGATTTGACTTAGTATGTGATAAGATCTACTACGTCTAAAATTTGTGATGGTGGTCTGGGGTTCACAGGTTGGTGTATTGACGTTGTTGACATTGCCTCTAATGATAAGGTGATGTGAGTTGTTACGATACTACTAATGCTTTCTAGGGAAACGCCAATGGGAACAGTGGACCTGCTGGGCCATAACCTCAGAGGAGAGTAATGGGGCAAGCTACTGTCAGTGCATGTTACATGCCTCTTCTTGGTCTGTGAGCCTTCTGCAGTACTACCATTGGTTGTCTTGCCAGATTTGTCATTGTTGTCTTCACTTTTGATTGCATTTAGTAGCAGAGCATTGAGTTAATTAAAAATGGAAGCATTCAGTACATTAACTTTTGAGATGATTCCAAGCGCATGATGGCAGTTACAGTGTCAACAGATCATTTTGATATTAGCAGAAGTTAAATGCCCACACATCTTCTTGTTATTTGCTCCGTGCTGCCTACAAAGAAAGCAACAGGAAACTTCAATCTCCCATTCCAGAGTTTACCATCCCATGGACAATTGTGCCACAAAATATCATTCAATGATTCGAAAATTGCATGGAAGGAGGCAAGAGCTGCCCGTAAACCAACATGAAGATTGTACACATTGTCAACCAAACCATTGCTTGTTTTTCCTTGAGGATGAAAATAAAGAGTCTCCCAAGAGTCAGGTCTAGTGGACCGGGTGGTGAGATCACTGAATATACCAAGAGTCATATTCAATGGACAAAGGGTTCTTGTGCTTCCATGCCTGTATAGTAGCAATGCTGTCCATGATGTAGAATATAATGGGAACCAACATTTTGTCTTTACTTGAATCACACTTTTTTTCCAAGTTTTCACCCACCATTCCCCATGGTGGAGTTTGCAGATGAGGGAGTCTGCCATTAGTTCTGGAACTCAGCACAGTGAAGTGGGGTTCTTTAGATTAGAACAATGACTTTTCTTGTTCTTTGATTAATGAAACATTGGTTAAAGAGATTGCAATACACGTCTAAAGGACCTTACATAAAAAAAAAAAAAAAATCTTAATATTATATTTAACCTCGTGAACTAGAAGAGGCACTATATGGCCAGAACCAAAGCTTTCGTTAGAAAGAATGCTTCTAGCTGCTCCGAGGGGCGGCGCCTCCCTCCGAGGAGGTTCTGTGGAGACGCGACCGAGTTTGATGCACACTGATAGGCCAACGGAGGCCCACACTGAACTCAGAGGACATAAAACAATAGGGTCACACTGCCAAGCC